TTTCTGCAATTGATGCTATCATCACTTCATCGTAACGTTTCTCTCTCACTTCATCACTTGTGCAATTAACAGCTTCGGATCGTGCTCCATCGACAGCTAATGGCTCACAGGTAGGACAATACCAGTGTAAAGATCGGTACTTAATGAGCGCATTAAGCATTGCTTTAGGCATCTTCATACATGGTGCACACATCCACTTAAGACAACGTTCGCATTCAATGTGATCGTTCTCACCGTGGCGCCTATCGTCACACTCGCCGCTGACATTCCTTCCAACCTCATCTTCAATGGCGGGGACGGCAGCACTGTTTACCTCCTGATGACAGCTACCTTGGATCGGGTTGGGGGAACTTCCAGCTACATCCTTTGGTCTAGTGAAGGTCGCAGGTTCCTTGTTGACAGAGGGAAGGCGCCTACGGTCTACACACCTCCGACACAGTATCAAATCACCCTGACAGTTCTGTCCACCCACACCCCGACAGTCCTCGCATCTTGGCATGGTGGACGATTTTTCCCCGTTCTCAAATCACGTTAAAAACAAACAAAAACACGACAAAAAGTTTCTGCAGTCCGTCAGTAGGTACTTATCTTCGTAACCGTGAAACTTGTAGAAGCGGATGGTTCAGTTTGATCAGGATTTTCGGCAGATTCTCGGAAGATTCAGCAGCAGAAAATCAAATAGCAGCCATCTTGCATCGATTCATATGCAAATCCCCATTTCATATGCAAATCCCCCAATATGCACATACACACATGCACACACTGAGATACACATTCACACACACACACATACACACAAAAAGATGCATTGCGAATAAAAAGCTGTTGCTTTATCTATTATGAAAACCGATAACTTAAAATAATAGAATATAACATACATGTAAAAAATACTTATGAGACTAGGCCAAGATAAGGTAAGAATATATCAGTTCAGTCAAAGAGGCATGTGCCTATGTATATCTGTTATGTGTGACAATAACATTATTATGAACATTAACATCATTGTCAACTTATATGAGCTGAAATAAGTTGGCCACTTATGCTACTAAAACAAAAATCACGTTGGACGGAAGCCAAATAAAGTTAGACATTATCTATTATGCATTCAATAATTATGATAGTTAAAAATGTATGAGCTTTGGAGGTTTGTGTGTAAAGCGTCTGTTAAGGTAAGCATTGCGCTATTGCTGCTGATATCGCTTAGTACTTATTATAACCTTGTTTTGAATGCATTAAATATTTATCTCATGAACCAGTAAATTGTTTGTGTTATTTTTTTATTATTTTCATTTTAAATCGATATAGAAAAATATTAAGATTGTGTGGGGTCGTGTGCTCTCAAAATGTCCACGCCTTGTCGCGGTATGAGAGCTTGCGTGTCTCAATGACCCCAAGAGCTATGCCAGCGGGAGTGCTTAGCACTCCTGGCAGGGTCACCCATGTTGGACAGGTCAAGGGGCAGAGGCCAGACGAAATGTGGACAACCTCTACCCAGAGGTTAAAAGGGTTGGCGTAGGGTCAACACCCCTACCTGTAAAAAGAAACAGTTACAGAAGCACCGATGATGAGAACCCAACATGAACCCGTCATGGGAAAGGAAGGGCCCCCACACAGGGGGTTCATGACGCTAGACAGTGAAAGCCGGAAGGAAACTGGAAAGCTGACTCCCCTTCTGACACCCAAGACAAGCATAAGAATGGTAGACCTAAGAACAGCCGGAGAAGGGACACGGAGGAGGAGATGAGGAGTATCAGAACCAGCTGGCAGGACCTGAGAAAGAAGGCCCAGAGACGAGTGCAGTGGAAGAACATAATCGGTGGCCTATGCCCTGGCAAGGGCGAAGGGCCTAAGTAAGTAAGAAGTGGGGTCGTGTGGCGTAGATGCAGCGTGCTCGACTTGGAACCAAGCGATCCTGGGTTCGAGTCCTAACATGCCACCTACTATCTTGTGCCCTTGGGATAGGCACTTCACACGACTTTCCTGAGTATTGTCTTGTCCTGTATTCGTCCTCTGCGTTGGTAGCGACATACGATACATGTAAGTTGATATGAGTTGAGTGTGCTGTTACCATGCCTAGTAATGAAATGTTAGAATGTGAAAAAATATATATAAAGATTCGAAAGGCCTAATTGTTTACATCTATCAACTGCTGTGGCAAATATTTCCCATCTTACAGTCAAATAACATCAACTAGAGGTCCACGATCTCATACCTTCACCAAATGATGTTACCCTTGCATTGACGAATGTTGACAAATTGTTTTATGTTTTTCATTGATTATGAAAACAAGATCTAAAGTTCCACATTTGCACAAATCATATCATTATATCATTTACCTAATGACAGGTTTGTCTTATAAAAATGACTAATCTAGAATTTCTTCATAAATTATGCAAATGAGGTCCCGATTTAAGTATGTTATTTTTAGTGATGTTCGCCTTCACTTAACTTCCAACACCAAAAAGATGTTCACCTTTAATAAAGTGAAGAAAGTGAAGAAAGCAATGATGAGGTCCATGATTTGGCTTATATCTAGTCGTAAAGAGTGGTGACAGCATTTTGCAAATTTGAATGAGAACGAGTGTTGAGTAACAGTATATATCATGTATTTATTTCAGACATTACCTATTGTTTTCCTGTCACGCTAAACATTTTATATCCACTTTTGGATATATCATGAGTAAAGGTAACGTGAAAATACAAAACACCCCGATTTCACAGATAACAGTACCCTGTTTCCGCAAGGAGCTTTTATCAACTTGGTTTCCGCTAGATCAACATTATTATTAGTACTGTAAAAATTCAATAATTCTGTCCTACGTAAAAAGAAAACACATTATTCAATGGTATATTCAGTAGCTACAAAATATCAGTAAATAAAAGCTTCCTAAATTTTATAGTCATCCGTACATGGCATAATGTATGGCAAAATTTATACCGATACTGCAAAAGATTCACAACGTCGTGCACAATTAATACCATGCTGTCCAAATGAATACGTACATTACGTCGGCCCAATATAGGGCAGTAAAAATTTTAGCATTTGCTGAAGTCTACAATGGTATAAATATGCAGTTTATTTTATAATGATAAGGTGTTTATGAATCGACGCGACGTATAGCTGAGTGTAGATTCCTTGCCGAATGTCGATTATAATCCTTAGGACAACACACAATTCTGCCCACATCATCTCTGTGTCTCAAACGTCTTCAACTTCCAAGTCAGAAGACCTAAAGTCACAAAACAAAAGTCAACGTTAGCACTGATCTGGTGATACATACATGCACATGAGTCAAACAATGTACACAAAAGACCACGGCGGTCTGTCACTACGGCATTCTTTCCCATTGCTATGCGCGTTCTAAAAGGTATCGGGTTACAACACGCTATTTTGGCCTGTTTTGGACTACCCGTAAAATATTTGAAAATACACAAATAATATTCAGGGGTAAATTTCGTCAAATTAAGATGAAATTATCGTCTTATCATCCTTTAAATGTTAGCTTTTTATGTTAAATCAATGATTTTTTAAAATTTCGCTCAGAAAGACGATTATTTTCGGGTTTCCGAGCACAGGTCATGTCACGTTTTTAGGCAAACATCGTTCAAACCTGGCTACGTATATTACCCCAGATCCCCGATTTTTATATTTTTCGCAGACTAGGAATAAGACAAAAAATCGTGTTTTAGGGATTTTTTAATTTCTGATTTTAAGTCTAGTTTTTGTCGACATTTTGGTGAAAAAATGGCATTTTTTGACATTTTTCTCACTAAATTACCCATAATTCAAAAATTGAGGCCCATTTTTCAAAAAATCG